TTGTTCTAAAAGGCACTAACATGGCCCAAATTCATTATTTTAGTCATTTAGACAGAAATCGGATATATATACATCTACATAAATACGTTACATACAGAGTTAGTTAAATCGCATAATGTACAAATACACATATGTGTACATGCATACGGAAATGAAAATTATTTCGAATCAAAACTTCTCAAGAGAGCTGTAAACTATGGATGAGTTGAGTTGAGTAATTAAATCGTGCATTAAATAAATTGTTACATTGTACCCTTCAACTTTAGTCTTCCTAAATATGTACATATACATACATACACAAGTACGTATGTACATAGTACAAATATTGTGTTTTCCTGTCATCCCCTGCGAGGACGTATCGAGTAGTATAAACATGGTCTACAACAACTGAAGTCATTTAGCAAAGTAGTTTGTTATGAAATTGTTGCTATACAATTTCCGTACACAATTTCAATATATTGAACCATCATCAATTCACCTTCGTCATCATCAACATGGGAGAAAACCGCATTTGTTGGATGACTGATAGAAAATTGAGGTCTTCAACCTCCCCTTAACCGGGTTTATCAACAATTGGGCTATCCGTGCATGAATTATCTGCTATAAATACGTACATATGAACGTATACACCGTTATTTTAAATATAATATTATTTATTCCGGATTTTCCTATAAATAACGGATGGACGAGATTGCATCGACGTCATTCAAATTTTTATGGAGCACATACACATATAATAGGGTGTCCCAACTTTGTAAAAAAAATCGCTTTTTCCGCTCACGATTTTTTCGCTCTTTTTGTAAACCGCACTGCGCATGCGATTCCGATCTTTTTTCCGCTTTTTCTGCTCAAAAATAAAATCTACTTTAAGATGATTTTTTCGCTCTTTTTACTACTTTGAGTGAAAAATCAGTCTCTCAGAGACATGTTTAAGGGGACATCGCCCGATTTTGATGCCCTATGGAATATATTGCAATATCAGGTGAGTGTATGAAAAGTGAGGGAGGATTTTATTCCATTGCCCCACCTGCGCCCGCCACACCCCCTGAAAAGCATTGCAACCACTAAAACTACCGCATTCAAACCTTTGCCAAAAATCCTATTTTCATCCCATTTTGGTAATTTTTGGATTTACATGATCTTAGATAGTTGTTTTATCATATCCAACATGAAGCAAATTTAAATTTTAAAAGAAACTCCAAAGTTTCTTGACCACCCATTCTCTGCTCCTGAGTATTCAAGCGATAAAAAATCGGGACAGTCAAGTATTGAGCGAAAAAAGCGGATTTCAGATTTTTTAGCTTTTCGCTTTTTCAGATCTTTTTTACAAACTTGGGAGACCCTAATATACATACATCAGACATATTATTAATATTCTCGGGATGCATTGATGTGTAAAATTAGTAGCAACTCTTCACTCGTTTTACGGGAAAAGGAAGATGACTCAGTCTAATTTGATATTTATATATTCATACAAATGTAACGGGATCATGCTAATTTTGCAGATAATTTTTTATATTTGTCGTGACATATACTCATGCCAAGACAACTCAAACCCTCGGCAGATTTCAGATTTCAATGGAAAGTGATAAAATGAACCTTCAAAGTGAACGAGAAGTCGTAACTTATATTGGACTGATACATAATGACTTATTCATTATAGGTATGTATGTACTCGCAGTCAGTTAGCATAATTTTCAATTACTGCAATTGACAACCATTCGGTTGAATGCTAAATTGCTAATTTTTCTGAGACTGGGCGAAAGTATAATTTTCTTCTTTTAATCTAAAATTGGGAATACTTCATATTAAATTGCTTTCCGCACAGAATCTTTCGAATAATAGAAATTAATGTAACAAGTTTTGAATGGGTTTCATGGATCACATTTTTAAAGTTGTCTGTTCTAAGCTTTCGACTACAAACTGCTATCTTCTTCAGGGAGCCATAATTTAATAGAAATGGAATTAATTTTAATTTATTTAATGGAAATTAAATTCTTGACAAATTGAACTTTTAATAAATTGAATAATTCAATTGATTTATGACACATTTAACAGCACTTGCATTAGAATGCTCCATATTCGGGGCACTTTATCCCATTTACTTAACGTGACAAATCGTTCTTATCTCTTCACTGTAATCAACCAAGGACAACGTTTCATTAATAGTGACCATATTAAATATTAGCAAAGTGGCTTTAATACAGCTCCCGAGATTTCGTCTTTCGATATGATTTATATCCAGTAGCTACTATGTGCTAGTAAAGCACAAAATTTAAATTTCATGTACCCATCCAATCTTGAATATTTACACTCGTTGAATAATTTAATAAGCTGACACGATTCCAGAGATGAGGATGAATCATCGTATCCTGTACATGCATATACCTAGGTCTGTTAATTATAATGCCTTGTTTGTAATTTAAAAAAACTTGTAACAATCGCGTGTTTGCGACCTATTGCGCCGCATACATACATTAAGTTTATATTGTGAAATCTGTCGTGATATTGTTTGATTTTAAAACTTGTAATTGTAAAAATAAAGTTACTAAAGTTTACTAAGGAGGGAAACTTCGATTCTTTCCAATAGCAGATTTTGATGCCCTGTGGAAATGTTGTAGTATCCCAAGAGTGTACGAAAACCCAGGAGGGTTTTGAGTTCATGGTCATATTTGTGCCCACCACACCCACTCAAAAGGTCACAAACCATGAAAATCACCATCTTCAAACGCTCTCCAAAAATCCGAGCAAGATTGAATTTATGGCGAAGGTTTTAGTGAGTTAAGACAAGGATTGTTTCGTGCTTTTGACCTCTTTGAGTGGGTGTGGCGGGCGCAAATATGACCATGGAGTTGAACCCTCACGGTTTTCGTACACTCATGAGATACTTCGGTGATAGGCAAACAGTGAAGCTTTCCTCCAAAGTAAAAGTTGTCATCAGTCAATTATTTTGTATACTTATGCAGTTACAAAAGAGCAAGCATTAAAATAGAACGAAAAACATGTTAATCAATTTCTCGAACTTATTTTGCTCGTTAAATGACGTTACAAAATCCTTTGAAAATAAAAAAGACGTATCAGTTTGTGCCTCAACGACTCGGACGAGTACTATGTAAGTACATACGTAGTCGATGTGAAAACATCATTGCAAAGTTTAGTGAAGTGGCTCTTTTGAGTTGCGAAATCATTCGAGAACTGGAGCCATCCTTTTGAAAAAGAAAGTGCTGATTGCATCCAAACTTGCACAACATATAGGAACTCGTTTCATTTGCACTGCTTTGAGGACATCCAAATCAATTCTCGATCATGTCATACATTTTGACTCCTTCCCTTGCACTCTGTTCCGGATTACTTAATTTGCTTGTCAAAACCTATAACTCTCGAACAATACTATTTTTTTGAATTTTGCTTTTGGGAATTTGAGGTGTCTTCTCAGGGGGATAGCATCTCATGGGATTCCCCCTTCGTTTAGTAGATGAGTTATAGGGTATTAACGTTTACGGTTCTTCGAAATAGTACAAGAATACACAAGATTTTCAACCTGAAGTTTTCTTAGTCAGCCTAATGTTATAATCAAGTTTAAGCATACACCACACCATAACTAATTGAACAATTGAAATGAAACTTTCCATGAATGTTCATGTATGTCAAAGTTATTGAAGAGGATAGTTTATTTTCGAATCGGCGAGAATAGGTTTTAGCCAAGAAATTGAGTCCTTCGTACCAGCGTGCCTTTTGGTTCCGGGTCTTCTCCCACAAGTTTTGATCAATCCTTCAACATGCGTTTTTCACAGTTTGGTCTGGAATTCAAAACTCTTAACTAGATGGGATCCATTATCCCGAAAATTTTTCACTTCACGGATCCTATTTAAAAGACGATTTCAATCAACAAGATTGAAAGCAAAACTCAAATATCAGTCGAAACCTCATTAAGTTTGTCAGGAAATTAGTATTATTTAAACCGCTGAATTTCTTGTAAAAATGTACACAATTGTTGGTTGACGTGATCATGCATTAGGAAAATGAGTGAGGAGAAATGATGGAGATAGCAATGGTACGTGGTTGTATAGTTTCAATCCAATTTGACATTACATGTGCTCCCGAGTTCTTTCACTAATGAATTGCGACATGAAAAGCACGCCGTCAGCGATTTGATGATGGTGGGACCGAGGTTCTCTGGAGTTCTTTCTTTCTCCTACAACCCTGCTGAAACGCACTAAAGGGAACAAGAAGTTGGCTGGTAGCGGTGGGAGGCAATTTGTACCCTTCTCGGGAAACGATAGCATCAATTAAACCGGGACTAATAAAGTGGGATGAAATAGTCCATAACAAGTGGAAATAGGGAGAATTTCAAATGGGATGAGAGAGGATAATTGCACAGTCTAATGCCTCTGGTAGTTTTACAACCGTACTAACTCACTTCGATTACCAGCTCGGCCTGCTTGTTTTAAGATATTCGCTTCAAGGTACTTTCAGCCACAAAACTGTTTCGCCACAAGTTCTCCCGAATATCTTTTCCATTTCCAGCACAGGTCACAGTGTGGAACTCTATTTATATTTTCGGTATATGTGCATATGTACCAAATCTGCTATACTGTGTACATTGCTCACCAACTTGAGCTATCACAAACTCTCGTGCATTCATGTTTGATATGTTTATTGCAAAAATTACAGCTTATCCGTACTTGCAGCTTGCTTATATTATTCCATGCAATTATCCATGCAATAATAATAAATACTACTGGAGCATGAGCCAGTTTCTTTTGTGACAAAACCTCGCACCAATGTGCAAAGGTACTAATGAACCATGCATACATATTTATACTTGGAGGATTATCTGTTTCAATTTCAGTATGAAATGCGAATAAAAGAAAACAAGTAATTATCAATGACACAAATATTGAAACCATTCCACGTGTAATGTGAATGCACACATTCTTTAAGGAAATTGTACTGCTTGATGAGCAAGTGATTGAATTCTCTGCTTTCTTGTGGCGCAGGGACTGGCGTGATGGCGGAGGAGGCGAGGCAAGAGGACATATCAGAAGCCGAGTGGATCCTGCTGGACACGCTGGACTGTCGACCAAACCGGCCCCTGCACACCGGACCCTTCCTCACCGTCCAACGACGACGAAGGAGACGCAAATATGTTCGCACTTTCCTCTTCAAGGACCCAACGCTAATTGATGATTTGTCAGTGCACCAAACAAACTTAGTCCTGGATAGGATTAGTGAATGGGAATTCAACGCTTTTATTCTCGATACTTGTACCGGGGGTAAGCAAACGAAAGAGAAAGAATTACATCCATTAATACTTTATGAGCTGGGAAAACTCGACACTTTTTCCACACACTCTTCTGGTGAATGAGATAAAGATACCTTTGTGTAAGAGCATTTTTTGGTCGTGCACTACCGACATCAAAGACGCGAGAATTAAGATTTCTGCGCCTGCTAACACCAAAACTAATTTGGTTAGCTATTTAGTGTGTGGAAATGTTGGAAAGTTTCGAGATGTATGTATATATGTATGTGTAATTTTTAATTTTGCACCATTGCAGGCCGTCCACTGCCTAACTTATGTGTTCATCTATTCCAACTTTATGGACTGCTAGAGCACTTCAACTTGGACCCGGTCACTGTTTGGAAAGTCTTTTGTAAGTTATTATTTCTACATGTATCTTTCGTTGACAAGAGCAATGTCATCTGAGAATATTTTATGCTAATCTTATATAAAAATGAAATTTGAGTTATGCGTATTTTTAATATGTATAAGCAATCTTATGAATTCAATAGACTTGAAATGTCTGGTACTCGTAAAAGCTGGAAGCGAAAAATTTCTGACATTAGAGGCTGTTGTTTTTCATGCAGTTTTTTATTATGCCCCTGTAAAGCTCATTTTTGGAAAGCATATAATATTTGCAGACTTTTGAAGAAAGGCTTCAGATTTGTGTACACATGTTTACCAAAAGTATTGAAGATTTATTTGCAAAGCAACTCTCGAACATTATACTTAAAGAAGCTTTCTGTTACAATTTGGGTAAATAGGTTCTACCGTCGAGTACATGTCTTTCCTCATTTGCATGCATCTTATTTTTCTATTTATTTAATTTAATGACATTTTCGGTGGCACTCAGCCGCACTTTGCATTATGTTTCGAAATTACATTGAGCACTCTATAGATTTTACATACATATTAGTTCAGTTTCTGTGTGAAAAATGTACACTACGTAACGAGGACAAAGTGTACGCTGTCATGTTGTGTTACGATTTTTTGAACACTGATCAATATTAAGTATGTAATTCTCGTGCTTTCTCTTTGTGCTGGTAAATACCTGAGTAAGATTAGTAGTACATGTGTATATGTACATAAATGTTATTTATCACATTGTTTTTTATTTCGTAGCAATTATTGAAGATGGATATCACTGGAGAAATCCGTACCACAACGCTGTTCATGCCGCTGGTGGGTGATCGTTGATTACTTTCTAATTTCTGATTTTGTGGTGGTTATCTCAAAAAGACAACTCACTAAGTATCTGCATAGCCTACAAATTGTAAATATATAAAACATGTGTATGTAAACCGTGTATTTGCAGATGTCACTCAAGCCATGCATTGCTTCCTTCAAGAATCCATGATTTTTGAAAAATTGACTCCGATCGAGATTTTGTCCGCCCTTTTAGCCGCAGTAACTCACGACTTGGGTGAGTTACTTTTATAATTTTGTTTTATTCAACTTTATCCCAACTATAAAAATACTGTGCAACTTTTTCATTTACAAAACAGCTTTTGCATATGCATTCCAAATAATCAGGTACTAAATTGCCCATTATTTTTTACGATGATGCCGACAGACCATCCTGGAGTGAACCAACCTTTCCTCGTAGCTACGTCCAATCATTTGGCAGCCTTGTACAAGGTAAGGTCACCAAAACGTCCGTTATTATAGTTTACTCTCGCACATCGTAATCGTAGTCCGTCAACCCTGCTTCCTGATTAATATTTGTCGTGATAATAAAGAGGACAGGAAACTGAACATTTATTATGGAGACGACGAACTAGAACAAAGACATATAACTCACTCTTAATTCAATCATTTGGAATTAACAATCATGTTTCCACAACAGTTGACACGGTCCAGATTTTAGTGGATCGATTTGTACGTCTTAATTAGTCTGGCTAACCCTTAGCGAAAGTGGGCGTTCAAATAGGTGCACACAAGCCTAATGTTTCATTCCATTTAGGACACGTAGGGACGTGTAGACCAAGTCGACATTCGTGGTGGTGTTCGTTAGTAGTTGTTCCGTTGTTAGTGCTATCCAGGTAATGAAACTAATAGAGACAAGCACGGAGGATTTAAGAATAAGGGAAATTGGATGAGGTGAAGTGGTGGGTTACCAATGTTGTAGATTTTTTAGGGGAGCACGAGATGAAGCTTTCTCCTTGTTAGAGAGAGAGAAAATACGGGTCAGGACAGAGAACGGCCCTCGCCCCGTTACTTGACAGTTACATTTTCTCGCATTCGAAATAATTCCAATCAGAAGTGTACATAGATAGGTCGTCGTCGTGGTTAGAGAGAAGTCTGGTGGTGTGTTCGTGGGGAGCTTATCCCTTGAATATCAATCCTTCTGTGTTCCTATTCTCCTGTTACATGAGACAGTTATCAATCTCTGTAGGAGAGCATTTTTCACGGAGACCTACATACCTACGTATGTATTATATACGTCTAGGGCCGTACATGCCTACTAGGTGATAAATGCGAGAATTCTCTCCCATTGCTCCCCAGTGAAAGCAGGGCACTGTGATTTCCCTCTCATCAGTCAGACATGAGCTTCATAGTCCGACCTGTACTTTTCTCATCCTAAATCCCATGTGTAACCCCAGTCATCCTTCCAAGTTCCACCTTCTAATTTCCGGTGAAGTTGGCTAATTTCAGGGGGGCTACGTGCACATGCTGAAATATGATTAAAAGAAGGGAGGTGCAATTTTACACCATAATAGACTTGAAATAACTAGTTATTTTCAGTAGTATCTCCCGTTATACATATAATCAATGCAGTATTCACAATAATTCTCAATTTTTTAGAGAATCCACAAGATAGCAGATTCACGAGTTCAGGCACTTTCACTTTTTGGCATGAGGTTCATCCCTAAACCAAGCTGTGTCGCAACCGAATGAGAACAAAGAAAATCGATTCGACATTTTTTGTTCAAATTTTTTACTTGGTCTCGTGCATCCAGCTTGAAGAAGCAGGAGGAAGTTAATAGAGCAAATCAAACTATATACAAATACTAGATATATGTAGACATACATATTTGTGTACATACGTACATATACGTTCCATGTACCAGCCTTCAATTCAACAAATAGACTTGCCACTATTCATGACGATTGCTTCAACCTCTTTCTCATGGATGAGTGGGAGTCAGCGGTGCAGAATGCAAAATGCAAATATTATTTAACTTGTTCGTCCAAGCTGCGGTGGTGAAAGAGCAAGTAAAACTTAGGATGGGTTGTAAAAGGAGGCCTGGCTGTGGGTCGACACAAATGTACATCACACGCGGAGAAAGTATAGGAGAAACTATAAGTATGTACAGATACATACACGTAGGACACTCATTTGCATATTACTGGTGGTTGATTTCGAACTCTAACTGCCAGTTGGCACAGCCCAATAATGATATGATGCTTATCAGAAAGGTTAAAATAGTTGGAATCAACGTTTAAAAAGTAAAAGGGCAGTTTGAATGCAGCATTATCCAATCTAACCATTACGCGTACCGATCATCATGCAAAGCACAAATTTACGGGTAGATAGTGGCAACATGAGCTTTCTCGGTCATCAGGACGTCTATGTGTCGTCGTCCTTTCCGCCTTCCGCGAAGTAATGTACATTGTAGTGGAAGTATAGGAGTCCGATGGATGTCCCCATCAGGTCATCGACATTACGTCGACATTCCCATCCCACAAGCAGCTGACTAAACGAAGTAGACTGGAACCAGGAGCAGAACAAGTGCCTGGTTCCAATGTTATGCCATCGTCAGTCCTGCTGGTGGTGAGCATTATACGTTTGTAGGCATGGTGGAAGAGTGGTTGGGGTGGCGAAAAGTGTATCATCTCATCGCTCTATATAAGGCAGGGTCCTCGTTCTAGTGTGCCGTTTGTGCTCCTACTACCTGCACGTGGATCGCAATGACGTAATCCACTTTCTCCTTCGTGCTCCTTTCTTCAAACTCGCTCGCTTTCTCCTAATTCTCTCATTTTCATCACAAACAGCACTCTGCATTGCTTTTAGGGGGTCCGTGGCTTAATATTTTTTGAGCTAATATCCCATTTCTCTACTCCTTGATTTCCTTTCACCACTAACCAACTAACCACGATCTTTAGCCAGTCCATTATTACTACATATTGCTCATGCTATGCTAATACAACACCTCTTTCTTACTCACCCCGCTACATGCACCTTTCTTCATACGTATGCATGTACATGGTTCTAGTTCACACGCAATTTGGTTCCTTGTCCTATTGGGACTGGAAAACTTTGGTGACCCTGGGTCGAAAATATTGTGTCATAAATGCCATGTATGAAATACATAGGATTTCGCCCAATGGATTTAGGAATAAAATATGCATGCATATCATGAAATCTTTCTGATTGGACCACTTAGCATTAAGCAAATGGTTGTACGTACTTATATGTGTGCCAGGAGGACTGCCATATGTACGAGCCGTTTTTCTGACGCATTTCCATTTTATTTGAGTTCTACTTGCATTTCATTAAGGCGTTACATGCATACATTATATTTTTATGATAGATATAGTCCGTTTTCGGTGAAATTTATTAATAATCGCGCGCATTAAAAAATGACAAATAGTGTGACGTAAAAGGTCACTGAAAATATTTATGTAAATGATAATCTTGCAACTTAAGCCATCCTTTTGAAATTATTTCAGAATTCTTCAGTTTTGGAGAATCATCACTGGAGGTCTGCCATGGGTTGTTTAAACGAAAGCGGAATGAGCCAAGTTCTGGGAGCAGATTTGGTAAAAGACGTGGAATGGAGGATTCGGGAGTTAGTTTTGGTAAGATTTTTATGCAGAAAATCGTCGAACTTTCTCATTTACTTTTAGGATTCTTTTGTCGTTCTATCAAGTTTAACTTTACTTTAATCTATTCTGATTCGTTGATGGCTAAAATAACTGTTACGACTCGGTCGGGTCTCTTGGTCAAGCTGACGTCTTCGACTACCACATGATTTCTCATGCTATGTTTATTTATTCCAGGCGACAGATATAACTCGCCAGAAGGAATTTTTGGATAAGCTCAAGGTAAACACTTATATGTCTTAATTATTATGAGCATTTCATGTACTTGATTGTGGGCTTGCTTGATGGGATGTCTCGTTTAGTCATATCATAATGGGTATGAAATTTTCTTGCAGGAATACCTTGATACAAATACTTTGGATATGAACTCGCCTGATGTTCGTCATTTTATTTTGCAAATTGCACTAAAATGTGCAGACATATGCAACCCTGCCCGACCCTGGGAAATATCGAGGAAGTGGAGTATGAAAGTTTGCGAAGAATTCTTTCGACAAGGTGACTACGAGCGACAGGTAATAATCAGCAACAACTATGCATGACTCCGTAACATTTAATTTATATTTCGTTTCATACAAAGAGATAATTAACTTTGTAATGGTATGTACTCTACGAAAAAACATTTTTTATATTTTATAGCTAAATCTGCCTGTTACATCACTCTGTGACAGATATTCTACCTCCGTCCCAAGAATACAAACAGGTATGAACCTAGCTCGTCCTTAAATATTTTATTTTTTTTTACTTTAATTATTGCAAGAAGCCGATTAGATAATACATACGTACCTTTTGGGTTCTATACTTCATAATTTTACAGGATTCTTCGACTACGTTGTGGAGCCATTGTTTAAAGAGTGGCATCGAATGCTAAATACAAAATTATCAACGAGAATGAGTGGAAATCTGAATGGGAATAGGCTCAAATGGCAGCAGCTTCTAAATGACGAGGAAACAAATGATACAAACACTGAAACTTCGGACAATGAAGAAACCGAAATACCTCAGCACAGCATAGAAGATTCGGATTCGCTGAATGTTAACGTGGCGAAAATAGCTGTGAGAAAGGAAGCACGCGAAAGAATATCGAGTCATGGTGGTCGCAGCGTTCACTTTGACATTGACACCAGGGTGACAGCAGCTAGTGACTCGGATCAAAGTGATGAAAATGAGGAGCAGGGTGACAAGGGAGGTGCAGGATTAGCAAAACCACAAGAAGTAGAATATCTGGGTATTCCACGACCTGATCGGAGACGACATTCCATTGCGACGGGTCTCATGGGAATCCAAGTTCCTTCTTCTCAGTTGCTCAACACAATGAGTGGAAGCAATTTGACTGTTGGTGATGTTGTTTCAACATCTCGCATGATGGGAATCACAGTAATCCGACGGGAGAGCTTACCCACCGGTAGTTTATTACCTGGTCGAGCTTTGCCTTCTAAAACAATTCTTCACTTGCAACGACTCAGTGGTGCTAGTGGGAAATCTGAGCCTGAGTCAGGTCATTCTCCAACTTCCGCAACTTCCCCTCGTGCAGACTCCGCAAGCCCTCCAGATTTGCCAATTTCACCAGGCAGATTAACACATGGGGAGAAAAGTAGTTGCAGTAGCACTAGCACGGTGGATGAGTTGCTTGATTTCACATACAGTCTTCCAGAACCAGGACGCAGTTCAAACAGCCCACGACGCTCCACCTTAGAAGCCACAGGTGATTACATAAATTTTTACGGGGAAAATGATAGTGCAAATGCCCCACTGGAATTACCACTGCTTGTAAATACTAACTACTTTATAATTGTCACCTATTTCAGACTTGGACGAGTTATGTCCTTCAACGAGCATTCTGTCCATGTCCCCAAGCGTTGCTCATGTAACTCTACAACATAGCATTGAAATAGATGAGCAGCGTCGTCACCTAATCCGCCAACAGACATGTCCTGTTGTTAGTGTTCATGCCGACGGTGGCAATTTCAACCGACCTCGCTTCTTATCTGCAGCAGCAGCTATCAGCCCCACTGCGGTGGCATCGTCAAGCATTATATCCCAACACCGACATAAAAATAAGAGCCCCGAGATTGGGGAGGAGGGAGCGGCTGGTGGCGGTGGAGGGAGATTGAGTGGAGGCAGCAGCAACGAAGGTTTGATGCAATGCTGTGAAGTTATCTCTGAAGAGACGGACAAGCAAAGTGGGAGTTCAGAAGAAGCAAGTCCATTAGAAATTTTTGTAAAGCAATTTCCTCATATTTCCGACGATAATGATGGCGAACCTCCACGAAGGGAAAGTGGTTCATGCATCTTTGAGTCAGAGTCGGAGTTTGCCAATTCTCAACAAAGCAATAAAGATGAAAGCTCAGAATCAGGAAATGTTCACGGAGACTCGAGTATGTTTTGTATAGGCTCAAGAGATAGAGATTCGTCTCTATATGATGAGGATGACGAAGATTGTCAAGATTGCGACGACGAGAATGATGGTGATGACATCGAGCATGAGCAAGTAGTGGTGGTGGACGATGATGATGATGATGATGATAGTTTTGAAGAACAAGTTGAAAAAGATTTTGATAGAATTCACATTAGTGGAAATAATCCGGAAGAAGAATCATCTAATACGGAGCATTTCGATTACGGCGAAAGGATTGATGAAATGTCCGATTGTCTGAAAACCTCATCACCAGCTACACAAGCTGGTGGCTCTTCCACTTTCACTCATGACAACTGCACACAAACAGACCCTTTGTCCGAGAAAGAGAATTTCAATCCAACGTCCTCATCATTTTTTTCTGGAGACGAGACCTCATTTTTAAATTCCTCTCCGACCGGAGGAATTTCTGACTCTGCAGGATCCAATTCAGTTGCGACATCCACAAGCAATAATAATCGCTTGGCCACACTTCTAATGTGGCGTAACAATCGGGTATGGAAAAGTCTGACGGAGGAAGAAGGGCCAGAAGGACATTCTTCCTGTGACATAGAACTCGAGGAACATATCCCAGGTTATTGTCGGAAATGGGACCTTCATCGTTTCGGTCAACAAACGACCCAGGTTGGACCTTAGTTTAAATTATATAATTATAATTATATCCGTGCAATTACACACTCAATTATGCACATGTATTTATTACAAAAACACATTGTGTTAGTACAACAAAACTTATTAAACTTAAATATCCTAGGGAGTCGTTGGGGTTTCTAGACTTCAAATAAGACGTGGATCGGCACCCACGAGTGGACCTTCACCGGGCAATAGAGGAGCTCAAGACAGACTCTCTGACCCAACTCAATACCATTCCCATTGCGGTTTTGACAATAACAATTTAAGCAGTGTTCCGCCATTTAGTGACACGTTTCGTAGAGGATCTGCAGCCTTGGACCCGCAATTGCGTCAAAGTATTACGTGTTAATTCGTATTTTTTGACACTGGTTATATGTTTAGACTTGTTGCATTACAATGTGTTTCCCAACTTTTGTATAGGCATTCTGCGACCAATTACACAAGCTAAGCCCAAATCGACCAATCCACGTGCTGCAGTTAGGCGTGGTTCTCTTCCAACCGAAGTGTCTTCAGGTGAGAGTTGAAACATAAAAATAATAAAATTTTAATTACAATGAAAATCTGCTAAAAATGATGGAAATATATTTACACATATGTACGTAAACATGTACATACGTATATGTATATACATATTCACACATGTACGTATATAGTACACATGGTTTATCTTCTCCATTTATTTCATATAGACTCGCAGGTTGCGTTGAAATGGATGCAACTTTTCCAATACAGTGAAGACGATAGTGCAATTTCAATGAAAAGACGTAGTTCCGGTGGGCCTGAGCTATTTGCTGCTGCTCAATCAAAACCCCCAGTATCCTGGAAAACACCCTTGTTGATAGAACGTTTCGAAAGTTGTGGAATGGCTGCAGAAACCCAGGGTGCATTTTGGCCTGGGAGAAGAAGAGGTTCACTTCCGGTCGAAGTTCGAATTGCGTCTTCAGTTTCCTGCTCATCTGAGTCTGAGTCTTCCGGTTCGTTTATTAATACTTATGAACTTTGCGTTTGAACTCTCTTGCAACTTTAATGATGGTTATAATATGGCGGTCGCTGGTGGTATAACATAATCTTGCTCACTTGCCTTATTTTATTTCTTACCATGATTTACAGCCGGGGATTCCAGCGACACATAACACATGGCACCGACTTGGCGTGGGTTCATTTCGACTGAAAAGTTCGCGTAGCACTACAACAGCTAAATGGATGGGTAGAAATAACGCAGTCATCATCCACACATCATCATCATCATTATAATAATGATAACCGTAATAATGTTAATGTCATCGTGATCAAAGAACGGGCTTGAGTGTTGAACAACAACAATAATGCTCAATAATTAATAATATAATGCACTCGATCTGGACTTTTAATAAAGCTGCACCTAAATACGCTGAGCATTAATAACTGCATTTTACCAATACGCTTATCTTTCTACACCGGTCATTGGCAATTTTTATCGTATTTCGTCCAGTCTCGAAATAGACTGCCAATAATATTTTAAAACATCGTGGTTTCGCAAGCGATGCAATGTTCTACCAAAGTATGTTCTGAAAAAAAATTCATTTATACAAAGTTGTCGTTGCATGGAATCATTATTTAACAAAGTGCATAGGGATTGCCGTTTGATCGAATCAAATGATTAGAAAACAGCGTATTATAAATTAAGATGGTAACTATTACATTAAATAGATACATGCATACAAAAGTAAAAGAGAGATTAATTAATCTTAAGCGACAGCAGCTGCAGGTAGTTTTAAACGAAATTATGTAATGTGTAAATTTCAGTTGTAATTTAATGTATATTTTAATAATAAATAACTTAGAGCCTACATATGTCGTATGACCTGTTAGTGTTTCTGCAAAGACGGACCTAAAATTGTTCAACAAACGAGGAATCTCGCGTCGAAATTATCCGAAAAAGCCAAATTACTTCTAACTGAAGTACAAATTCAATTTCGTTTATTGAATAATCACTTAAGAACAAGCAACAAATAATTTAAAATTTTGTTATGTATACCTATTCTCAACCAGTATAAATTATTCAATAATGTGCATATGTACATATATCTATGTAAATATATAAGTAAATCTAGTTAGTAACATTAAATTCTAGAGACAACAACATACCAACAACCATACCATGAGCTCTCGAACCAGGGTACTGTAAACTGTTTTATAAAATGGATGCAAATTTCCACTCGAGTTTCTAGAATGTAACAGCAAATGGGATTTATGTTGATTTTATGATTTAAACTACAAAGATTTTAAACAAACTGGTTGTGACCATGTTCATAAACATGTTTAGTTAAACATTTTCCATATTTTATACTTGTATTGACACAATAATACACTCGGTCTGTCATCATGATCCTGACGTGAAGATGAGACGATTTTAAGAGAAAAATAAATAAAATAGCACTTTACGTTTAATACCTTAATATTTGTATGTAAGTAATACCCATGTTAAAGCAATATCTGGAGGAGGTAACAAATCTTGGTAGGAATGTGAGGACAGAAGGTCACTGGAAAATAGATTACAAATTAATTATTTATACTTGATACACTACGCTTGTGCATGGAGCATAAAGATGCAACCTATTTATCAAACGTAGGATAAAGTTTACTGAAATAGAGGAGTAGACAAAGGACGATAGTTCCCTAGATAGACCACTTCCGTACATATGTACTTCCAGATTTTATTATCTGTATAATTGGTTTGCAATTATGATTAGTTACTAAAATTTAGTAAATGCTCACTTACCACACTTAATGGCATTGAGTATTAGTAAGTCAAGTCCCCAGTACTACGACAAAGTGGTTTTGTAAATATGAATGGAAGTATGTACACTGTTGTCCTTCATGCATCACTTATGTACATAATATGTAATTATATTGTATCCAATTTTGAACAATGTATATTGTGTAATATTAAATATATAAACATTTCTTTGTCAAAGAGTTTTATCAATCGCAATTTAGTGGCAATACGTTCGGAAGACAGTTGTTTTAACACTTAGAATTTTAATTAGTATATGTGGGAGACATTTTTAATTGTTTTTATACACCTTTACCAAATTATATCCTTCCTCGAATATCTTATAATCTTTGAATACATGTAGTAATAAATATAGTTATTCCAGGTCATTTGTCCATCTTGTAATATGTTTACTGACTGTTAGCTATACAGCATCATCATTAACCAGTAATCTTCAGGAGAATGTGCAGTTAATGTTGTTAAAACTTCCTGGTAATCGCATTATTTAAGAAATTTTGTACTGAAAAGAATGACTAAATGTCAATGAGGCCAGTGAGCTCATTTACATAGAATGACACTTGTAATAAAAAAAATGTGATGTGTGTACAGATATTGTTTTTATTTATATACGCATATCATCAATGATTTCATTTTGTTTTACAGCAAAGCATGACAGTCCTGCCTGCAACACATCTTGTTTGATATCATCTTATTCAAAAATTTAGAAATGACTAGCACAAACGTCTATGATCTAACTTCGTTCATTTCAAACGATAATCTTCAGGGATATTCCTAACTTGATGCATCATTGCTCAGGATCACTTCTATAGTCTAATAACTATTTAACAAATAACAAATCTTATGGTTTAATTATGACTGTGCCCGTCGGGTGACTTTCTCATGTGAAGTCTTTCCATATATTCTTTTTTTATCCTATCCCGATCTTCGGGCCTAGGAAGATGAGGTCTGATGCCCTCGGATCTTCGATAAGCTTTAATTTTTTTCTGGAAACAACAAAAAACATTAAATTTAACCACCAAGTATATATTAACAAATTAATATTATTGAACTACACTTTTGATAACCATTGGCTTACGTACCCAGAATTCTTGGCACGCCGTATAATTCGCAAAAGCCGCACTGCACTTATCCTTGTTAAAATTGTTTTCGGAAAGACATTTGTAGGACAACTTTTGTTCCTAAAATTGAAGAATAAATGCTTGAAAATTTTCCAGGATTCATATGCTATGAACATAGACTATAAACACCGTATACATAATAATCTATTATTAATAGACTTACCTTTAAACATGGATTTGTGAGTGAGCTTGTTTGATTCGATGCCGTCTCAATGATTAATTTTCGTTCTGCCTCATTCGTAGACGGAGGAAGATCACCTGGATTGCTGAACATGTTAAGGCATCAACTTGATGCCCTTAACCCTTCCCAACGAAATATACTATATTTAAAGAGCCAGGTCGCATTTATCTTTTATTTATTTTTTATTCTTGGACACCAAACTTGTATTTACATGCAAGGGAGTGCATGAACATTTTCTCAGCTCCTTCGCGCTACGGTTTATTCACTGCTGCGGGACCTTTGAGTAAAAAAAACACATGTGCGACGGCATCGGCAAGTACAACAACGTGTTCAACGTGTGTCTTGTTTCTTGGTGAAATTTTCTCCGGTGTTTGTTTTGTTTGGTTTAAAATACTTGGGATTCTGCTGTTTATAGTCCCACAGTTAAGGATAACCACATATGGACACATAACTATTTAAGTATGAGCACATCTTTGAAACGTCAATTAGCAGCGCTAGCTGCCCCCTCTTCATCTTTACTAGCTCCTGAGCGAAGGAGGAGTTCGATCATTTTTAGTGCGCAAGAGGCGGCGAAATATGACCGAGAGACTTTTTATCAAATAGGTAATTAATCACGAGTAGATTTTTAATTAATTCCGTCCGTAATTATGTGTTAGCTAGCTATGTGGTGTCATTACATATTATCATTTATTTCGTCATTTGTATGAAATGCTAATTCTGAATTCTTGCACATAACAATTAGGTCAAGATGGGCTCGCTGAATTGGTCTCAATCAATCCGGGCCTCTTCGAACCGTTTCTGGAGTCGATCCTATTTTCGGAAAGTTCTAAAAAGTATGAAAGGGTTATGGAAGACAATGAAACAAATGATCAACTGAATGAAATTATCAGCGAGTTTCTATTCGCTCTTCATCCCTACGTTATGATGAAAGCATCATTAAAATGTTTAGAGTGGTTGGTATACAGGTACGTACGGTTATGATTAGTTATGAATGACAATAATATCAAGTTACATATGAAATTGGTGCAAGTCCTTTTGTATGGTTTTGATGATTTTGTTTGATTATAGATTTCACATTGAACGATTTAATGTCAGCGAAATCCTCCAATGTGTGCTTCCGTATTATGACACAAAATCATTTGTCATGATCATACAGGTTAGAATAGTGTGATTTTTTTTAACTCTGATTGATTGGTCATTGGTAATTAATGGATATGTACCTCAACTTCGTGATTTATTAAAAAGGTGTTGGAGATTGAGAGATACCAAATGAACCAGGAATGGGAATGGCTAGTACCGTGCAAGAATAGTGGGGCACCGTTACGGAAAGCTGTATTATTTGACAATTGGAATTCAAAATTCCTCCTCTGGATGTTTTCTTCGTTTCAAAGAATTATGCACGTACGTATGCTTAACATGGTTTATCGATTAAACGTTTCCAAATTAATCAATAATTATTGCAATACCAAATTGATAAATATATTTGATACTTTAGGTACACAGGATGCAACCTGAAAATTTGAGGATTTTTCTGGGGTTCATGGCGTCGACAATTGTTGGACTTCTGAACAAACTTAAACATGATTTGGTTGCAAAACCAAATAAAGTTAATAGTAGAAAATTCATTTTACTGAATATTCTTAACCAAATTTTTGAACTTTTGAAAACTATTCGAAGCAACGAGGAGTATCAAAATTTAAAAAATAATGAAGAAATTTATTCAATGGCCTATGTTGTAATGTCCATGTTGGCAGTGTGTTGCCGAGAAATTCCTGGAATGACTGATGTGGTTGGGTCTGGATTGAAACAAATCTTTAAACTGATAATTGTGGTAAGCGCACTATATATGACACGAGAACTGGTCTGCTGATTAATATGCTTGTAGTTTTTTTTAATATGACCAATTAATTATCTATTTCCAGAATCGAGGAACAGTCCAAATAACCGAGACATTTTTGCTCATGAATTTAATGATTGACTTTTTAAATCGTAAATGGGAATTTAAGAATCCAACTACATTCAGCAATGCTTTGAAGGATATTTCAAAAGTTTCTCAAAATTGGGATTTGTCTAATTTGGCAACAAAACTAATTTTGTATAATATGGAGCAAGAAAAACTGTTGTCCCCACAAAAGGTTTTTACTTGGGTGGAGGAAATAGAGTTGGGTTTGGAAGAAAGAAGTGAACTATTAAGGTATTTACATTATATTGCAGTATAGTACATTTTATAATTTTTCTTGAATTAATTATCATCTTGATTACAACTACTTTAAATTTCAGACAAGTGTACCAAGGTTATGAAAAAGACAAATCTAAAAAGCGACAAGCTAAAATGTTTCTTGTTAGATTTGAGAAGCAATATCCGCTGGAATTTGAAATAGCAAGCGAAAAGTATCCATGTTTGGCAACGGACTTGACGAAATACAAAAAGAAAAAAGACTTTGTCGTTTTATCTGATCACTCGAGTCCCTTGGTGAGATCGAAAGGAGTTAAACAGCTCATTCGAAGTGCCGTGTACGGTACCGCAACAACCACTGACACGAAAACAAAATCGAAAATGACGACCCCCAAGCCTATGGTCTTGGACAAAAATCGAACAGCCGTCGCTTTGACCTCCAGATTTGCTGATGATGATGGCGATGTCTTGTTAGCTATATGGAAAACAAAGTTGGACAAACTTTTAAAGATTTTTTCCCCACATTCTCTAGTAGCTGGAATTGTAATGACGCTAAACAGGAACGTCTCTATAAAATCTAACAAGTTTGCGTTACAAAAGTTATGTGGAGTTGCTCGACTTACTGACAGTTCGACCACTCTACACAAGGAGGTATTTTAAAGGATAAAGATGAACGAATCAAAACGATATATATGAATTGTTCAGTTTTATGGATAAACACTCTTTTTCGTAGATCATGATAATCCTGGTGCCTTTCTTATTTCCCCGCAATGGAAAGCAACTGAAATTGGCACAAACAATTTTGAAAACTCCTTTTGCAGAACATCATCCATTTTTGCAGCAATATGCTCCCAGTAATCAAACTGATAAACATTAAATATGTATAAATATGATGTCGTTGAAGAACGAAAATGACGAATCGTATTTTTAAGACGCACGTAGTTCATACTAAAATAATATCAAATCTTATTGTTAGTGCGTCTTAAAAATACGATTCACTCTTTTCTTTATTCAATGACGATATGATGTATTTCTCGTGCAATGTATGTACTTCATTTATGGTTATTTTATATTTTTTTGCAGTTATTTCTCAAGAGAATCTCACGTTCCAAGAACTTTGCAAGGAGTCATATCGTTTGATTTCAATAGTGGACGATAAATACAAGCCTAATTTTATCTCTAAGCTAGAAACTGCAACTGAAACAACTTTTGCGTGTATTTTGCTACCATCTGAGGATCTACTTACGAAATTACTCCATATTGCTTCGAAGGTACACAAACATAATGTAATGTATTGAACAAAAATTCTCATCCGTACTTGGTTTGTATAGATGCCTTGTACCCGTTGCACGAGCTTCCCCACGACAAATGAAAACTTTTATAAATGTGTCAAACTAGCAGAAACCAGACACCAGCTAAGCTTTGAACTTGTTTTGACTGCACTTTATAAAGTACCGTGCAATGATTTTGATAAAATATATCAAGTCATAAAATTTGTATGGAAGAATTGCGAGCAAATTGAAAATCGTGAAGCTGGGATGAAATTTTTGCAAAAATACTTGAAGGTACATAAGACAAACTTTGAGTAGTAACACCATTTTATACACATTTTTGTTCTATTGCTCTACTGGTATATTGACATTTATATGTTATTGACAGCTATGCTTCGGTTCGGAATCTGAGCATTACAAGTTTTGGATTCAAGCGCTGATACAATCGGCTGAAATTGAAACTGAAAACAACGAATTTCTTCTTATTCGTTCAATTCAATTTACAACGTCTTTTATCAGTAACTTGAAACACATGGAAGGACTGCAGAAACAAGATAAAGGTCCTGATAAACCCCAGCCTACCAGGAGGGGTAGAAAAAGTATCTCCACGAATAAAAAATCCACGGAATACATCAGTTGTAGCGCCTGGAATCTGGTTGAAGTACTTTTGACTACTTGCATGTTGCATAAGTCACCTCGTGTCCGATGCTTCGCGTTGGAGAGCTTGAAGATGGTTAAAAACAAAATAAATGAACAGGATGTGATTCGTAATTTTGTAGAAGACCTTCTTCAATATGAGAACGAAATAAAAATAGATCCAGAGTAAGTATTATTTAAAAAAAAACAATTTGTTTGTGTAGAAAAACGATGAATATACTCTGTGATATGAAAATGATCAATTGGATTTCAGGCAACTGGTGAATGCAATGGCACACGTTCTTTCTGATTCAGAAAGCCTAATCAAGTCAGAAATTATTGCGTCCCTTAAGCGAGATGATTTAGCTGATATCAAGAAAATCGGACTGATTAATTTGTGTGCATCAATCTCAGGACAGGTTTGTTTGTCCCATTTTTGTATCTCATTGTCAGTGGTATTTATGTATGCATATATAATGGGTATCGTACTATTTCAGGTTTTCGAGGAGATCTATAGTGCAAATGCATTATTAGATTTTCACTCATCCTCACAATATATGTTAAAGTTGTTATCTTGTTACGATGGATCCTTTAACGAACGTCTACTGAACGATGTACTTACCTCCAAAGATGCAGCCCGTGTTGTTCTAAAACAAATTGACAAAACTGCTCATGATTCGTATGGTGCCACTGCCAAAAAGAAAATATTTAATATTTTGGTTGAAAAATCGCTGACTTGTAAATATCCCGAGGTAAGAATATAACAATAAATGTAATGAGTGCTGAACTATTTATAATACCGACAATAATGATTCTAGATTAAAGTTGCGGTATTACGTTGTGTTCGGAAGTGGACGTTGGATGCCTCTGTTGTTGCAACTGAGCTGACAAAGTGCCTAGAACTTGAGAAAAAATATGCAGTACCAGCTGTATCAAAGGCGTCTAACATATCAAAACCGGCGATAGAACCACAGAACGATTGGGTTGTTCGATCCGAGGTTGTTCTAGAGTTTATCCAGGGCAGGCAACAGCTCAAGAACAAGACTAAACTCATTCAACCCCTCTTCAAAATTTTGAAAAAGTAACAATGGGTTTTAATTTTAATTAATTCGTTTTTCGATTATTTTAAATTGTTTTGACGCTTATAACAATTAACTTCACTATTTGTCGTCCTGTTTTCTAGATGTATCACGTTAGAAGAACAGATGCCAGTAGAATATTTGAAACAGCTCGTTTTGACATCTCTTACACTTTGTTGTCAAGAAGAAGACACGCTTAATGCTGAACAGAGTAAAGGTATTCAAGATTTTATTTTGTTTTATTCATAACACTTACATACCAGGGAAAATATTTATTTTGTTGGTGTGCGTTGCGTTGTTGATTTTAATATCAACTTGTCGTTGATAATATCTTGTAATTATTTTCTAGATTTTGTTAGTTTTGACGTCCAAACAGTGATTGACTGTCTAAGATGTTCCAGAAATCCCCAAACGCATCATCACGCTCTGATTTTACTGAATTATGCAGCAAGCCGTTATCATGTGAGTTACAATTGATGGTAGTTTTAAATTTGTGGAATTAATATTGATATTGTCTTGATTTAGGAGCAAGTTTTGCACGGAATAATGAGCCTGTTCACATTTATGGGAAATTCAATCCTTCGTCAAGATGATGCATACAGCACTCAACTAATCCAGCAAACCGTTATGAATATAATTCCTGCACTGGCAAAGACCAACCAGGGGGATGCACATTTACTGAATGTTTCTGCTGGCATTTACCGAGTTTTTACTTCTGCAGTTCAAGATATTCCTGTTCATCGGAGACTCCCTGTATTCACCTCCTTAGTGCAAACACTAAATCCCGGAAAAACCATGTGGCAACTGTGCATAATATTAGTTGACAACGCTCTACAAAGAGATAGGAAACGGTAAGTCAAATAGAGAAAAATTAATTGGGGTTGAGGTTACATATAATTATAATTATTATTAATATAGTTCATATGCATGCATATCTTAGTTTAGTGAACTGTATAAAACTAGATAATCTTCTAATTTTTATTGACAGGAGTAACTTAAATGCCGACTTGGAACTTGCTGTTGATCTGGTATGGAAGTTTGGCCCACTAAGTGTGTCTCAGACAGTTGAACAAATCTACAATTTTTTGACGTCCCTTCCGGTTTTCATTAGTATGTTTGCACAATATTGTGTCTAATTTTATTTTATATTATAGTTATTAAAAATATATGCTAATTATAACATTAATTTTCCAGAAACCCCTGAATTAGAGCAGTTCAATCAGATGAAATTACGTCAAACGTCAATGGAAAGATCCGTATTGGATTTTGGACGAAAAGAATCCTTTAGAGATGTTCTCATTACAATCAATTTTACACTCGAATTAGTTGCTCAAATTTGTTCTAAAGTAAGTACTTCACAAACTAATCTAATCTTAATTTAGATGTAAATAGAGTACAAATTTTGCTTGCAAAAAATAATTATGTACTTAATGAACAGTTCTCTGACACCGAGAATGAAGATGTGGAGTATGACACGTTACTGGGAAAATGCTTGTTCTTTTCTAAAAAATCATCCGGATTAAATGAAGAGAAATTGTATCGCTTAATCGTACACAAGAATTTGGATGTGATTGACAAAATTAATGCAGCCCTGGATCCGTTGAAATTTATTGAAGCGGTGGCGTTGATATTGGTCAGGAATGATGCCACCGTAAAAAGAAAAGTTCTCGAAATGCTTAATCAACGTATTTTACAAAAGGTAAATTACTTCATGTCCTTCTTGCATAGTTGCATAATGATTAGTTAATTAACTTTCAAAAATACTATTTGTTAGGTTGAATGGTTTGGAGAACTTCATCATCTTTTGGAATTAGTTCCCCTTCTCATAGAAATTGCAAGCATTGAGGCCGAATCGGATGAGGCAACAACCCTTGTACAAACAGCATTTTTCTCCCTCAAGTTGCTTGCGAAGCATTTAGCCATTCAACATTCTGATGAATTTGTTAAAGTTTTTGACCTTGCGAGCAAAAATACCAACCACAGTAACAAACTGTTGAGGGCATCAGCAATCTTATGCTTAAGTGAACTATTTTGTCTGAAAAGCTTGATCCTGCCCAACCTAAATACTGTAACAACAGCAATTTTGAAGGCGTTTAAGGCATCGGCGAAACTTCAAATTTCTGGGAATGACAGCATACAACAACAAGAAGCCACACAAGATGGAATGGTTGATGACCCATCCAAAGCAACAGACGACGAAAATTCTTCAATGACTGCTCACCTACTCTGCATCAGCACAATGACATGCCTCAACAGAATGATTGAACATTTAGGCTCATTTGTGGGAATGAAATTTTTGCGTAAGGTTTTAATCGCTGTCCTTTCAATCAGCAACACATTTGGTGAAGGAGAAAAAGCTTGTCACCGGAAGAAAGTATTTGACTTAAAGTTGAAAGCACTGTTGAAAGTAATATCGTCCAAGATTCCAGTACGAAACATATTGATTCCCATCAGGGAAGCATTTGCTAAACTTCTCGATGAGCCCGCTGCTGCGATAATATTAATGAAGATGTTGAAAGATGCCCTATTGCAAACATCTAAACCAGATTTTATACTGTTTGCCGACAGCCTCACAGATGCGTTTATCGGAGGTTTTATGTCCATTCGGGAAAGTAGTGTGTGTTCTGATGTGGAAAAAGTTGAGGATTCTGTAATTGATTGTTTGATATCTGGAATGGTGCTGAAAATGACCGAGAGTCATTTTAGACCTCTCTATCACCGAATTTTTGACTGGGCTAAAGAGAATGAAAGCCGACTGGTCACATTTTATAGGTTTGCTTAAATAATTATTAGAAATATAATACTCCATGAAGTTAAGTTAAATATATGGTTAATATGCTCATGAATTGCAAATTAGGTTTAGTGCTGCATCTGCGGAACGTTTGAAGAGCCTATTCGTCACATTCGCTGGATACGTGATCAGCGAAGCGGTCCACGTCATGCACAAAAATGTGGATTTAGCCAAAGCAATTGTCAGCTTTTTTTATTTCATATTTTTAAACGACAAGGAAGGATTTGTTACTACAGATAGATTCAACTCTCTAGTTCAGCCCTTGCTAGATTTGGTATGTGTATAAAATGAAACTTATTTAAAATATACATTTCGTGTGGTTATAATTACTAAAATCTATTTATTAATAAAAAATAATTACAGGTCGAGTCCGAGTACGTATTGAGCGGAAAAATAACAATGTCGCAATTAAACGACTGCATTGTTCAACTAGCTGTGGCTACAAACGATCTCAACCGATGGCAGCATCTTATTGAACTTATCTCTGTAAAAGCAGGCCATTCAAATAAGGTCGTGCGACTTAACATTTTGACAACGCTAGAGGCGGCAGCGACCGAGTTAGCGAAGGACTTTCTTCCACTATTACCACCAGCAGTGCCTTTCTTAGCAGAACTTATGAATGACGATGACCCAGAGGTGGAGTCTGAAACCCAGAAATTGCTTCTCAAAATGGAAGAAATTGTCGGTGAACCCCTTCAGCCGTACTTTACAATGTAGAATTTGTTTGACGATAACTGTGATTTCGCGTAACATGCGATTGAATAGTATATGTTAATATTCGTTTGTTAAAATTTTAATTTTTGTTTTTTGTTCAGACAAATATTTATACGCCTTTTTGATTCAAGAATTAATAAATTTTTAGTTCGGGTTACTGTATCTTAAAGTATTCCTGTAAACCCTGGAGCCCATGAATTCCATAAAAGATTTGATTTTTTTACAAGCTCGTTCTGCTGGACGAGTTAAAAAGTTATTTCCAGCTATGATCATAGAACCTCGAGGTTTTTCCATTTCAATTTGAAACTCAGCTTCGGCTTTGGGGATAGCTATAAATAATTTACATAAACAAAAAAGACATTATAGCTCTCAAGTGGAAGAATTTATATCACTTATTGCTTCAAATTAATTCGTCTTACTTTTTGTTTCATTATTTAAAGTCACTAACACGAAGGTGTTTCTCGTTTCTTTGATTGCAATGCCTCTCAATCCAATGAAATCACGACAATTCGCATTGGTAACTTCAATATGAGCTCCATGCAAGTCTATTCGATTTAACTTCTGCTGAATATCCCCTGTACGATTTTCATTAATGTCTCTGAGTAAGATTATACATACAAATTAGTCATTTTTCTATTTAATGAAATTAAACGGATATCACGAAAGTAATATATTTTGTAAGTACTTTAGTAGTTCTGCAATGTAAGATTTCCATAATTTGTTTAGCATCACAAAACGCTCATATGACAGCCGGCGTGGTAGTGGTTTTATAATTGATCGCCGTTTGGATTTCTTGCTAGCTTTGTTATTCGAATTATTTTGTCTTGTGGCACTGAAAGTTTTTGTCGTTGTACTGCTGGAGGATCCACCGAGAACAAACGTCTGCATAATTATAAGAGTACATAAATATTAAGATGATTTACTTATAGTAAATATGTACAAGTTATTGCATACGCGTTTCAATGTTGACTCGACATCACGTTGCATGGTATTTGCATTTGGAAAGGATTTCTTAATGTATTCCAGTACCACGTCGTAATCCGCCTGGGTGATTGGCGTGTTATCCAAGATTCCGCTGGGTGAAAGTTTACTATACGTTGCTGACTGTTTATTAGCCATGGTTCGAGTGTGGTCTTATTTCCTATCAAAGCAGTATTTTTATATTGCAAGTTCCGTATCACAGTAATTCTGTACACCGAAATAAAGAACAATTGTGAAATCAAATATCTTTATGCAACTATGTAGAACAAAAAATTTATTATATGAACATTTTTCTACATCAAACTTTTCACTAATAATGAAATTAGGTCGAAAATAAAGAACTAACAGCACAACTACCCAATATTTCGTTAGAAATATGATCCCTTTATTTTTCTAAAATATAAATGCCAGGGCAAAAGTCTATATTTAGTCGTCAGAGAGGGATGATACGGATCAAATTGAACACGTTGAAGTCGTTTTAGATATATGTCGGTGGGAACACCAGCCAGGAACAAAGGTAACGCTTTTTTATCAATCAATTTGCTCATTGATTTTGCCTAAAATATTTCAAAGTATACGTTTAAAAGAAGCAATTATGAAACCATCGCAAATACTGGAACACAACCAATTGGCTTACTTTATCGTAATGTATGTGAGCATGTGACGCTATTTCATAAACGAGTTCCTTAATTTTCTCTGACTGCTTATTTCGGATGAAATCCTCTTGTGATAACCCATGTTTAATTAGCATATCTCTAGGGACAAGTACTCTCCTATTTTGAGCATTGTAAGGTATACTTCTAGCTGCAAAAAAACATTGAAACTGACATACCAGTTTATAACTTGTTTAGATCAATCCTTCGGTTCAAAGTTCAACCATGTATTGATTTGAAGATTTAATAGTTGGAAATGTTTATTAATGAAGTTTACTTTGTTGTTCATTGTATCTTAACATGCATATGAATGAACTTTTCGCTTCCGTTTTTATAATTGACATAAGTCAACTCCGAAAAATACTAAATGGCTATTACTTTCAAATTTAACTCAATTTTAACACGCATAAGAAAGGTACCCATAACCTCAATTTTAACTTGATTATTTTTATCACGTACTCCAAACATTTTACGTACCAAATGTTCCAAGACCAATCGCTTTCCCCAGGTGACTAGATGCGTGGTCTACATCGACATTCTTCACACCTAAGCACCCAAAGAAATTCAATGATCAAATAATAATCACTCGAGGTCGTCCCAATAACCTCTTCAATGTAAAAGCATAAACAAATCCGACCACACTGTACACAGACCTAAGATTTCAAAGGTTATGAACAAAATAGAGGTGACCGTTTGGTCGCAATATGCTTCCAAGTCTGAGAGATCAGTAAACGGCACGTCTGACATGAGCCTTTCTCGTCCATCCAATAAGTTCACCAACCATTTCTTGGATACATCATGTTCGAAAATGACCTAAACAACGGATACAGTATTTAAAACCATTTCCTTCAGCCCTCCACCGTTTACGCACGAACAATTGTGCATTTGAGAACATACTTTGCTCATTCCTAAGACTGTGGGCTGTCTTGGCACATTCTTATATGAAGAGTCAGCCTTTTTAGACAGATACAGTTGATTGACAGCCTCTCTCCAAAAGACAAGTCTGGACAACCCAATCTCTTTTTGGGACACTTGGTCCCGGATAATGGCCACTTCCGTGTTGAAAGCACGCACGGTCATCACCTTGGTGCGCAGGATGGGATCGGGAATGAGAAGGGTGCATAGGAACATCTCGTAATCATGTCGTCTAGCCGTCAGAGGACAGAAAAATACACGTTGAAATGTATGTACTTCAATGAATAGGTTATTCTTAGAGCTGATTAGATAGGGTGGCAGTCATACGAACTATAGTGCATTGCGGTATTTACAACTATTAATATGAACAAGAGACTACAAAATCATCTAAATCTAACTATTTCTATTTATAAAGCTGCATCACTTGACTGTTTTTACCTGACTAGGTCCGAGCAATATGAAGTAATAGAGGAATTGTGCGGCCCCTTCGTGGTTTTTGCGGTCGTAGATGACGACAGGGGTCTGACGAAACCAAGAGGGGTAGAGGTTCGGCTTAAAACTTGGAAAAACGAACTCATGTGAAAACTTTAGAGATAAAAAATTAACTAAAATTGACAATTTCAAGAAACATGTGAAAAATGAATGAATGTTGCCGTGAAGTTAGCGGGTAACACACTCGTACCTGAGTGAGACGACCACTCGTGGCCGGTGTTTCCCGTTATTGAGTGAAATCCCTTTATGATTCGCTACGTCTGTCTGTCTTTCTGTGACAGAAATTCTGTCTGTCTATTTGTCTGTTTGTAGTTTGTACGATAACTTTACTAAACTAATGAGTATGAGTCATGTATGACCCGCATGAGATGACCACTTGAAATTCGGACAAGCTTTTCAGTCAATGTACAATTTCGATTGGCAATGTAGGTCACAAGGCGTTATTTCATAATTTTTTGAAGCTGAACATCAGTTAGGACTAAAATCGATAGGATTTTTAAATATCTATTCTACCGAATAAGTCGTTTGGACCTGCTGGATGATACCCGTTTGATCTGTGAATTTAGACAGTGGTATAAGGTCAAAGGTCGCAAATGTTGAAGACACTTTACTATTAGACGTGTCAATTTTTGCAAACGCTGAAAACGAATAATATGATACCCGTTTGACTTACTCGTTTCACCGCTTGGTTACATGCGCTATATAACGGTTCATTTCTTTCTGTCATCATCTGTTTTCCAATTTTAACCGTTATATTATCCATTCATCATTTTCATACTGTTATCAAGGCTTATCATCGGATTTGACACTATTATCATTCTGACTTTCTGGATTTTGAGCATACCATTCCGAAATCCGTCCTGGGACAGGTAAATTGCACTTTCAACTCTTGGTGGAAAATTATTCTGTGTATATTGTTTATGATTATTAGGCCTTTTAAGATGGCCTTATAGATTTGTCAAGATGTCTGTCTGTCCGTCCGTCTGTCCGTCTGTAGGCACGATAACTCTCTTTAAACAAAAGCTATCGACCTGAAATTTTGCATGCTTTATCTTCGGGTAAAAAGTAAGGGTGAGTTCGAAGATGGGCATGATCGGTCAAGTGGTTGGCCGGTGGGGGTCATTTCCACCCAAATGTGTTGCCATTAACTACCAAGATGGTATTAATGTTATCTTAAAAGTTGTAAAGTTGCTTGGAGTAGGTTTTTTTATTTTTATTTGATTGACCTACTGAACGGAATACTGAACCGTTGGAAAATTTCTTGCGGTGTTGTCATCGAAGCAGACAGACGTCTAAAATTTCATCTCTTGTATTGTTCCAGCCAAAAATACTAGCGTGGTGTCGTCATTCGTTCTTCAACTAAAGTGGGATTTATTTAGGTGGATGTTCCAAGCGATTCGTACTTTATTAGAGGTAGAGAAACGACTTTCCCTTCATCCGAGGACTCGTCTTTGCCCACTCTTTGCCTCAACAACTCAACAGAAACGCTATTTTACCTCGTATAAGCGTCCGTTTTTGCATTCGGCAAGCCAACCAGCTCCAGCGCATACTTGTTGCTTTCCTATAAATTCGGTATGTTTGTATCCATTGGACGAGCATCAATCTTTAAAATTTTATCAAATGCCAACATTTAACTTGTAACTGGTTTCAAAAGGCTTCCAGTAAATTTGTGACTATCGCCAGCGTCAATATGAGTTCTGCTGTCGAAGCCAAGAAGACCTCGAAATTGGAATTTCAAAGGCTCCCTTTGAATGCAGTTCCAGTTCACTACGATATCACCATCAAACCAAATTTTGATAATTTTACATTCGAAGGGGTCGAAAACATTGATCTCAAGGTACTACATTTATATGTATTACTCCATATCATCACCATCACCTTTCGTATATATCTAATCCAGCTTATATTTTCTTTTCAGATCAATGAGACTTCACCTAATATTGTGATGAATGCTGTTGAATTAAATATCTTGAAGGCCGTTTGGAAGGACAGTGGTACTGGCAAAGAGCAAGTCGCTCAAACGATTTCTGTCGATGAAACGACAGAGATTTTTACTGCTGCCTTTCAACCACCATTGCAGAGTGGAACTGGAACAATTTTATTGGAGTTTACTGGAAGTATGAATGACAAAATGAAAGGTTTCTATCGATCCAAATTCAAGGGGTCTGATGGACAAGACAAGTATAATGGAGTTACTCAATTCGAAGCTACTGGTAATCATTTTAAATTTTTGTGATGGTTGCTGCATAGTTCTAGTAAATAATAAACTAGATATTATTATGAATGAATGAGTGATGAATCATTAATTATAGATGCTAGACGCGCCTTCCCTTGTTTTGATGAGCCAAGCCATAAGGCAACTTTTAATATAAGTCTGGTTGTGGAGAAGAATAAGACTGCTCTCTCTAACATGGTACCAAACATTTTAATATATCATATTTTAGTATTCATAACAAAGGAACAACTCGAATTTTGTATTGCATAATTTAACAGCCAGTGAAAGAAATTCAAGCTTACCCTGAAGATGACAAACTGCATGTTGTGAAATATGAACGTTCTCCAATCATGAGCACGTATCTCGTAGCCTATTGCATTGGAGACTTTGAATATGTTGAAACCACATCCAGTGACGGCGTCCTTTGTCGTGTATATACGCCGCCCGGCAAGAAAAATCAAGGAAAGTTTGCCCTTAGTGTTACTGCAAAGGTCCTCCCCTACTATAAGGAATATTTTGGAATTGCGTACCCATTACCTAAACTTGACTTGATTGCCATTGCGGATTTTTCTGCGGGTTAGTTTTATTTCTTTTATTATCGATACAATTTCACGTTAGATTTAGCTAGTATTAACTATGGAATTCTATCTATGTTCAAAGGAGCCATGGAAAATTGGGGGCTCATAACCTATCGGGAGACCTGCTTACTTGTTGATGAAGAAGAGACTTCTGCAACCAGTAGACAATGGATTGCTTTGGTTGTTGGGCATGAAGTATGTACTACTTTTTGTTCAAATTTGCAGTCAAATGCATAATAGTGGGCTTATTACAGATTGCTCACCAATGGTTTGGTAATTACGTGACAATGGAATGGTATATCTCTAGTCAAACATATTAATCAATGTATAATATTGCAGTTTGTAATATTGATTGAGTTTAAAAAATTTTAGGTGGACCCATCTTTGGTTGAACGAAGGATACGCAAGTTTTGTCGAGTTTTTATGCGTTGATTTTCTGTTTCCGGAATATGACATTTGGTCTGTGCTGTCTTGTCAAACTCAGTATTCTTTTTAATCATTTTTCTAATTTATCATTTGATCATTAAATTAATTTTTGCAGGACTCAATTCGTTACGGATACATTTGTCCGAGCCTTAGAACTGGATTCGCTAAAAAACAGCCACCCAATCGAAGTCCCAGTTGGTCATCCTCGAGAGGTTGACGAGATATTTGACGATATCTCATATTCTAAGGGTATATCATTAGTATTATTACTTCTAAGTATGAACCACAATACCACATAACCCTATTCAATCACTAGGAGCCTCTATAATTCGGATGTTGCACCGTTATATTGGAGATGCTGATTTTCGCAAAGGAATGAACATTTACTTGACCCGGCATCAGTACAAAAACACGTTCACCGAAGATCTTTGGAGGTCTCTGGAAGAAGCGAGTGGGAAACCAATCGGTTAGTATTCATATTATATAAAAGCATTTGCCTGTTTATTCACACGACCCATTTAATATATATTTACAGGCCAAGTAATGGGCACATGGACCAAACAAATGGTATATTTAAATTCATATTAAAAGTAGCAAGAGTTTCAAAATAGTTAATAATGTAGATTATTTTCTTTATTATCAGGGATTTCCTTTGATCCGAGTGCAGTCTGAACAAAACGGCGATACCAGGGTCATGCGACTCACTCAGGAAAAATATTGGGCTGACCCTAATCTGAAGAATTCAAAAGAACACAATGACTATAGCTGGATGGTTCCAGTTGCATTTTGTTCTGCATCTGATCCCAACACTCCTATCTGCCAAACATTGATGGAAGAGAAAATGGTAACCGTAGAACTTCCTGGTATTCGAAGCGACGAATGGGTGAAGGTACAAGTTTGTTTTCTATTTTTCTTGCTTATGTAATGCATCTGATGTTCATTAATTATTAATAATGGTTATTCATTTCTAAATTAAATAGCTCAATCCCGGTGCAGGTAATTTAACAATATCATTCATGACTTTGCTATGTATCAGAATAATTAATGGTAAAATTTGTGTTTGTTTGCAGTTGGATTTTATCGTGTAATAAGCAATAATACAAATTTTAATAATTACTTTAAAGTTGTATTTTTATGGAATATGTTTATATAAAAATTATATAGGTGCGTTATCCACCAGAGTTGCTTGTTGAATTTTTACCAGCGATCAAAAATAAGATCTTACCACCGTTGGATCGTATTGGGCTTTTAGATGATTTATTTGCCATGGTTCAGTCTGGCGAGAGTTCAACTGTTGATGCAAGTTTATTACTACATCATTTGTTTAATTAATAATGCGTTTAATTTAATACATATTATATGTAACATATATATAATATGTTAGGTTCTACGGACTCTGGATGCCTTCAAGAATGAAGACAATTTCACTGTTTGGTCGAGCATATCTAATGTGATGTCCAAGCTGAATCTGCTCTTTGCCTACACTGACTATCACGACCAATTCAAGAAGTTTGGTATACACTTGTTCAGCGGTATTGCCGACAGCGTTGGTTGGGAGCCCAAAGAGGGAGAAAGTATGACTTTTGACATTTATTTGTGAATATTTGTGATATTTAACGTTCCACTTTCAACCCTGATCTAATGATATATTCTTCTAGGCCATTTGGATACGATGTTGAGATCATTGGTCTTGTTGCGGTTGACATCGTTTGGACATGGTATGTAATAAGTAAAAATAATATACCAACATATATCATAACTTCTAAAGATTGAGTTCATAAGTTCCTTGATATGATGGTTGTATAAATAATCCGGAAATGTTGTATTTATCTTGTAGAAAAAACTATCCAAGAGTCAAAACGTCGCTTGAATTTGCATCGTAACGGGGATCAAACTATCCCTGCTGACTTGCGACCTGTTGTTTATCGTGGTGTAATTTCTGAAGGCGATGAGGAAACTTTGGAAATGATGCTAAAGGTATTTAATTTAAATAAACAGGCAAATAGTTGGCAATGTTTTGTTCCATTGACTACGCTTAAGTTTACTTGAAACTGTTATTTTTATTTTGTGTGCCAGATGTACCGTGAGTCGGATATGTTGGAGGAACAAGATAGGATTGGTCGATCATTAGGACTTGCAAAAAATCTCAATGTTTTGAAGAAAGTCCTTGAATTTGCCATCAGTGAAGATGTTCGAAGTCAAGATACTGTTTTCATCATGATTAGCGTAGGAATGAACAAAGTTGGCAGACCTCTGGCCTGGAACTTTTTCAAGGAGAACAAAAAATTCCTTGGTGAAAGGTATCCGGTAAGTTTTGGGTCTACTACTGTCATTTATGTAAATGAGATTCATGTAGGTATTCTTATGAAAATTATCTAATATTTATATAGAGTGGTGGTTTGATTGCTCGGCTGGTGAAACACTTGTGTGAAAATTTCGTAACCGAAGAGGATGCAAGATCTGTAACAGAGTTTTTCGCCGAAAACCCCTTTGCAGGGACCGAGCGAACAGTTCAACAAGTGGTGGAGAGTATTCGCCTCAACGAACAATGGCTGAAACGGGATGAGAGGTTGGTCGGGGAATTTCTAACAAATGCAATTTAGTGGCGATTTTACCATCTGACTACTTATTTTGATCGAATTGCTTACTAGTAGAGTATTTATTATCATAAAAATTGTATGGTTAATGTAATCAAATTATTACCTTTACTTGTTGAAGAATGAAATGCAAAACAAGGATAAAAATCATATTAAAAATTGTATTGGTTAAGTTTGATTTTATCACTCCACTAATACTGCATAATATGTTGTAGTGTATGTATGTATAGTGTAAGTCATACTCACGCACCTGGTGGCTTTCTCTCCTCTCGATATTCCGCAAAATGACAGGCAATCGACATAAAGTCCATTGTTTTGTTACTTCTCATCCTCATTTAATTTCTTTGTTTGAAGATTACGTTTGTGGTCTTGTTCTGTGCATATGTATGCATGAAAAGAAGACCGTAATCTACCAAAGTGCACATGTATGTGTATGTAAAAGTTCGAGTAGTAAAAGCCCGACCGAGGTGAATGCCATAAGCTCTGGCTTAATAAGAACTCTTAATAAGCTTAATAGCAATAAGAGCCTGCCTGACGTTGAATGATATTCAGCTATCACTTTTTCACACTTCTGCGTGCCGACAGTCACAATACTTGTACAATGGGCATTTATTTAAGTCTTGGAATCTGAAAGTGTTAATCAACTTTGTAAAACAACCAGATCACATTGCGGCATTATTCATCTCTTCAGTCGACAGAGCATCGCATTACACCGACGACGACCGCAATAACAGTTTAATGCCTTCCACGCTTCACCCCTTCTCTGTCCATCTCGCCCGTCATGCTGAATCCTGAATTTATAATAATGTAATGCACCATTGACTGGTCGAAATAAATGAGGTGAGAATGTGAAATGATTTTCAAAGAGGCACAAGAAATAGAGCTTCGGAGGGGGTATCACTGAAACAGTTGAGTTGTGACACCTCCAAGGCATATCCCACTCAAGTGTGAAAAGGTTTAAATTTAATTAGACTGAAAGAAGGGGGTTAATTAATATGATATTATCGGATTGCCAAACACTCCAGGGGTCACCATTCAGTCAAACATGGCAACGATTCCTCCATTCTATTGCTTCCCAGTCTTAATTGAATCATCATATTCATCACGAGCAGAAGCAGTGTTCTCCTCAATCTGCATACACATTACATGCATAGATAATAATTCTATATAGAAATATATAAGGATTTTCGCTGTTGTACAACATCATGTTCTTACATATTGAGTTTATTTATAAATTAAATTGGAGAGAGAATTGTTCATATCGGAAAATCAAGAAGAACACAATGATCAATGGAAATTTAGCTGAAATCAGAGTCGAGATCTGATAATTTAGAGCTTTTGTTCCACTTCCCTCGAAAGGTGCATCAATAACCATACACCGTTGCATCGAAAGAAAGCAAAGAAACAATTTCGAAACTTTTGCATGACTGGTTTATACAATCTTTGTACGTGGCCTCGTTCAATTGATTCGGAAAACATATAAATAACTTTCGACATCAATTGATAACTTTTTTGGTAGAAAAAAAAAATTTACATTTCAATCTGCATCTCTAGCTTATATCTACCAAGATATTACGCAAGCTTAGTAGAATGCACTCTCTACAGGAATGTGTGAATTTCATGTGCAATTTTTAAAATTATTTTGTAGTCTCCGTTGAGTCTAATATATATGAATAATCAAGTTTTATTCTATAATTTGAACACCGTGTCGCCAATAATTCGTTAAAACAATGTGAAGGAATTTTAGCAAATCTCTCCTGCCGCTAGAAAACATTATTCCTGTCATTTTCCCGTCGCTCACAGCGTGCCAGGAATTTATTTCCCCTTTTCCTCTCAAGTAATATGCAAACCGTAAAAATTAATAGTTATAATGCTCCAATGGTTAAAAACCATACATATTCATGTGTGGAACACAATGCTCATTTAAAATATGTGTATTAAAGGGTGATACATAATCCAAGAGCATATGCATCACCTTGTGCTGCATACATATATTCATACATACAATCGTACCGCACCGAACCGACAGACTGCATGACTGACAATGGACCTCGCTCTGGACGCGGAATTTGACCTCACCTCGATCCACCATTTCAAATTCTATTATTAATATTAGCCAGTGATTAAAGAGTAACGAATTCAACTTGCACGCTCTCATCTTGAACAAATGATTCCGCCATGGCAGAGATTCTCTCTAGTGCTCTGTTATCTGCTGTCCATCCATCCCACAGAACTATACTATTCTATCCGTACCGTACATACGAACGCACGGTCAGCCATCCCCACGTGCTATTTGTGACAGCAACATGTCTTCTTAACCTTTTCATCGGAACAATAAAGGTTTTCACACTTTGCAAATCATTGCTAGATGGGCAACCCTTGGTGATCTTTTTGGGCTCTCTGACTTGAGTCTCTGGCGGCTTGATCGATAGAATACCTTGGAAGAATACTAATTAAGTCCCCCATAAAAACCACATTCCATCCATCTTGAAAGTGTTTATGCATCACAGCAGTAGTGTGTATTATGAATGTCTGCATATGGTTGTTTTGAAGTTTAATAAATAAATTGGCAGCCACGCCGTGCAAGAAAAAACTGATCAACACCACCACCCGGTATCTGCCTGCAATGCACATATGTAGAATAAAATAAATAATATAAGGCAAGCCAGGGCAGCAGATTAATAGTAGTGCTCAGATCATTTTGTCTATAATTTATTTTAAAGGGGTAGAGGATTCAGGTGGAGGATGGGCTACCTAATGACTATAAATCAGAGTATCAGGTAGGGATTCAATCAAATCCTCACGATCCACAAGAGGAGTGATAGTTCGTGAGAACCGCATGAGCACATAAGTATTTATGCACAGTCCAAAACCAAATAGCGTGAGGCAAGTAAGTCACCGGCCTACGGAGAGACGATGATCGTTTATCCATTGCTTTCCTCATCTTGCTGCTCAGGTCATCTTGGGTCGATTATAAAATCAACACTTGCCATTTGAATCAACCCAAACAACTAGAAACTCATCTTCTTCTTGCATAAAACAAAACTCGGTTCAATTTAACTTTTTTTCCTTCCTATGAAAACCATGTCTACTGCTTTCCTGCTGTCTGTGTGGGACCGACCTGGCTGCACTGATGACGATAATTGATGAGCTAGTGCCTGCTCTGTGTAATTTTGTTATTTTTTATATTATTTTACATGTACCAATGAATCCCACAAACCGATGTTGTTACATAAAATATTTATATAAGAATAATAATAAAATATTTACTGGAGCAGTACTGCTGGTTTGCTTGGTTAGAGCTGTGTTTCTTATTTGATTTCTAGAGAAGAAACAGTGAAACAGTACAGAACGAAAGTGAAAAGCGAGACAAAACTCTAAAGACATGAAATAGTTCGTGATAAAAGGTTGTAAATCCCTCAGATGTCAATTCACATTGAAACAACTTAACTTATTACTTTGTTGAATTGAGTTGCATGATCCTTTTTCTGATGGTATGATGAACATTATGGAGATCATGCACTAAGCCGGCTCCAGTCTGTCTCAGTTTGTACACTTCGTATCGTATTGCACGTCCTGGAGAAAAAACTAGAAATGAGAAATTCTTCCGTTTTAAAACGGTGTCATAAGGAAATTTATTTCTGAACCTAGGAAAGAGTCGTGCTGTACTGACAAGATTCAATGTTTCATGTGCATATGTACATGCATGCATGTTTCACTAAATAAAAAATGGATCCCCGTCATCATCTCAAATTGGGCGATATGATAATGCTCACGAGATTTCCATCATCTCCATGAAAAGATTCGTAGCTTAACGTTCCGACAGATTCTTAATTCTGAGCTACTAAAGCTCAAATTGTGAATTTTAAAAACTGTTTACAAAAAGTCTGTCGCGTTTGTTATTATTAGTTATTAGCAAACTAGTGAGTTATTAATTACTTTCATCGTATCGTTGGATAAAAACCTGAATCTCGTAAGCGTAATACCTATATCTCTTCAATTAAGCTGGCAAGAAGAAGCAGGGTTTATTTTTTTGCGATCATTTATCTGGAAATATTTTTGTTAAACACTGAAAATAAAAGTTTTACACATTTCTATTTTCGCATAAAATTATTTGCATATTTATAATTTACACATTCACAGCAAAACTTAAAATTGTGTAAAACTAAATGAACGGGTGTACATACATTATTCAATTATGCAACATCCTGTAATTTTTTGTCAAATTATGAGAGATATGATTGTTACGGCCACTTTATCATTTAAATATTAAATAAGCCTTGCACTGCATCGCTTTATGCAGTGCAAGGAATTAAACCCAGGTAAAAAGGTAAGCAATTTTCGTAACATCAAACTCCACCGATATAAAAACGCCATGCACCGTGATAATTGTGACAAACAAATATGACAAGCAATGTTGATTACAAAATATTGCTATAATTAATTAATTAGATGCACCACATTTTGGTGAACGCAATAATCTGCAGCACCATCCATCAATGAAAATCATTAAATCTTATCAAGTAACTAGCCAGTTTTGCTTAAAAATGAATACCCCTCGGCGACAGCAGCACCAAATATTCTTGATGCATTAAACTTTTTTTTTAACCAGACACTGAGTATGGGCATAAAATTATCAAAGTAAAATGTGAGATCAAACTAGGAAATTCAGCCTTGTGCTTTCAGGACTGTATGCATAAACGCATGGAAAGAGGAAAGTTGGTTGGTTGGTTGTTGCCTTTATGTATAATAAAGCTTTATTGTAGAAACAGAAGTGGGCTCAGATAAATAAATCAGGTGTGCGGTTGTGTTAATGAAAAGAATGGACGTCGATGGAGAAGGCGATACGGCAAGAAAATGGATGGACCGAAGGTGTCAAGTTTGTACAAACAAGGTCTTCGTCTTGTTCAAATGAAATTTCATATCAGATCTCAAATCAGCTTCTCTTTTCTGTTTTTTTAGGATTTTCAGCTTTTTGCTCAACTTTGCCTGATCAAATTTTAGATTCTGACCTTTCAAGCATAACATTCACCTTACCACAAAATCATTATAAATTATACATCTTTCACCTGGTTGCTGCGTTTTTCATTTTTATTTATCACCAACTTTGTTTCTTTTCAATTGCATTATTTTTTATCTGCATATCGCACGCATCCAAACAAAG